ATATTGCCGGGGGCCGCTCGCCCGATGTCCCTTGGCCCGTAGGCCCTACCGCCGAAGGCGCATCTACCGGCGGACTACCCGCCGATGGTGCAGACTCCGCACGCTCCCTGCTCGCATCTCCTCGGCCCGAAGGCCCTGGCGCCGAAGGCGCAAATCGCGGCGCGTTGTGCGCCGGAGGGTCTGGCCCCGAAGGCTTGTGTCCCGTAGGCGGATCTTCCGCCGGCTCCTTCCTCTTCCTACGTTGGAACGGGGGTGATTCCTGCCTGTGCACAGGCGGCACGTGTTGAGGCGACCTGTGCACAGGCGAGCGCCTGTGCACAGGCGGACTGCTTCTTCCCACGCGTAGGCGTAGGTCCACGTCCGCTTGTGGTCGTCTGTCCGTCGAGGCTCGCCCGTCCGTCGAGGCTCGCCTGTGCGCAGGCGGAACACCTGTCCGCAACGCACGTGGTAACTCCGGAGGCCCTTGGCCCGTAGGCGGCCTCTCGTCCGTCGAGGGTGCAGCGTGGTCCGTTGCTCCTGCGGACGTCCGCGCTCCCTCGTTCTTCTCTGGCGACGCACTTCCTTTCTCCGTCGCAATCGTCGCCGTGTCCGCGCTGCTGGCTGGTAACACAAGCCTGCGCGCCTTCTGCTTCGGCCGGCTGTACGATTCGTACAACGGCCGCGGTCGAATGGGAGCCGTGGGTTCTTGATGCTGCTCCTCTTCGGACTCCTCTCTCCATCGCCGCTTCCGCGGCACTCTTGCTGCAGGAGTATTCCTCCCTTCGTCCCTCCGCCTCGACGGAGTAGAAGTCGGTGACTCCACTGCATCAGTGTCGACCTCATTCTCCCGGACATACCTCCCGGGATGGTCGACGGACAACGGCGGAAAACGAGCAAGCTCCGCCGCGGTCAAACAATTTCGCTGTCGATAAAAATTGATGAGGAAAGGAGAGAGATGATTTAGCGTTCCCCCTTCTCCTCAAAAGTGTGCTGTCGCATCACCCTGTGCAGGATGCTCGCCCAGTGAATTGGAGTTCCCTCGATGATGCACTCCACAAAAGAGACCTGCCACAATGTGATGTAGCAGGCGCGGTGTGGCTGCAGTAATTGCAGCAGCGCCGTAGCCAAAGTTCGGCGGAATCGATCCTTGTAATCGCGGATCTTGTACCCATTCTTGGTAGACTTCCCCTTCTTGAACAGCTCCACAAATTGCGCCTCTTCCTGCTTGTACACCTTGACGCTCTCACTATCGAAGAGGAGGTGCCCTGGGATGCCGGCACATCTCCCTAATGCCTGCGCCCAATCTTGGACCGTCCATCGATCAACATTCGGCCGCAATCCGCGCGTAGGTGGTCCCTGTGGCTCTAGCCACTCGCGCATTATATCCACACAGATGTAGTTCCATCCCCATAGCAAGAAATCGAGTTTTCTTGCTATCAGGCGCTCCTCGAAAGCGCGCAGCCCGTTCTGTGGTAGTCGGAGCGGCAGCATCCGCAATCGGCCCAGTCTCGTCATTGCGTTTTTGGAGTTCGCCTGCTTGCTAATTCTCCTTCCGCTCCGCTCGAGCTCCTTTCTTCCTCGGCAAACTCTAATCTCCCTCAATTCCAAATCACGCGCACTCACTTCTCCCTCAATTACCAAGAAGTCCTTTGCGCGGCGAGGTCGAGAATGCTTAGCAGCTAGCAGATGGACGCTCGCAGCTCGCACTAGAGAATGGAATCGCGAATTCAAGAATGGGACGCTCTCCGCTTCCCGGTCGAAGGTCATGGTCGGCTCTCGCTCGTGAAGGACGACTCAATTGATGGCCGCGCCGGCTCTACGCTAAAACGGTCTCCGCTCTCACGCGCGGCTTCACGCTCCGCCGTCGCCGATTTAACTCTCACGCTCGAATTGGCAAATTTGAACTCCGCGAGCGTACTACGCCGCGGACATGGGTGCGCAGCGCCGAAGGCGGATTTTCCGCCTTGCGCGGTACACTTGTTCGTACCGCTCCTCAGCCAATCCTCCTCTGCCTCGGCGCGTGTGTCCGCATGTCGGACAAAAGTTCAATTCCCGCCTGCGCGCAGGCGGACTCCTCGGCGGATTCTCCGCCGGCGCGGAACTTCACCCGCCTGTGCACAGGCGCTCGCCTGTGCGCAGGCGAAGTCCGTCCACGTCGATGCGCTGGCGCGGAAGGCGTTGACCGCGGTCAACAGCCTCCGTCCATACTGTCCGTTCCTTGTCTCTCCGTCGGCGCGCTCCGCCTCCGCAACTCCGTCCGTCCAAGGGCGCATCCATCCGTCCCGTCCGTACAGTCCGTACGGATTTTACTATTCTGGCGGCTCCTTGCTCGTCCGCGGCGTTGCGCTGGCGCAGAAGGCGCCGTACAGTTTCTACCTCACAAGGCGCGTTTCTAGGGCCCAAGGCGGATTTCCCGCCGACGCCGAAGCGCCTGTGCACAAGCGCACGCCTGTGCGTAGGCGAACTTCGCGCCTACATCAAAACCCTATTTCGCCTGTGCGCAGGCGAACTTCCTTCGTCCGCGCATAGGACAAAACTTCTCCGCCTGTGCACAGGCGAAGAGCTGAGTATCTTACAACCTTCATAACTCCCGGAGTCCTCATCCGTTGTTGGCGTTCTTGGGCTCGTTGGAATCAGCGCGTCGAGCTCTTTCCAACGAGACCCTAACTAAGTCAAGACGTTTGGGAGTTGACCTAAATATGAAGGATTTCCCTACCGCCGCGGACGCAGCGCAGAAGGCGGATTTTGCGCCTTGCGCCGTAGGGATCCTAACTGCAGAGCTCGCAAGGAGGGTGGTGCCCTTCCTTACCGCTGCACCCAACTCCTAGATTCTACGAGGTCCCTCGAGAATCTCTGCGATCTTTCGAATTCACTCTGTTTTGATGCACCGAAGGCTATTTTCATTGCTGCCGTGGTACAGTTTTCCAAAAATGTTTTAATTTCCTCAAAATTACCAAAAGTGGGGTACCACACTTAATATGTGTAAATTCATCAATCTCAAAAAAAAATTTAAATTAAATTAAAATTAAAAAAGTCAATCAATGTTTATTCAAAAGTTAAAAAAATCAAATTTACAACAAATCAAATTCTTACATTCATTTGATTTTCCTTAATTTTCATATCTAGTCATAAAGACATATAAAAATGACAAGATATGAAAATATGTATGCATATATTTTTTCGGGATAAATTTACACATTTATCCCGGAAAAATGAGGTATCGAATTGGATGATGTTTGATGTGTTGAAATATACAATATATAAAGTTTTGAGAGTTTATTTTGACAAATCTATAACTTACACAGTTATTTTAAAACGATATACCAATTACTGAGAGCTGCTTATGTACAATTTCAATGAAAACTAAAATACAACATAAAGGATTTATGTTATCACTTGAAAATGTGATATTGAATATCTTGATAATTTTTCTTGCAGATGTACACATTCTACTCTCATATTATTTCAATGCCATTTAGATATGAGTGATAATTACATGAAATGTATATATCATTTATATAAATGGCATTGAATCTCTACAAGCACTATATGCAACATGTACAAAACGCTCTTCTTCCAAATGCCTTTTTTACCTTTAAAATTTTTACAGTTATGCAAATAAAAAATTCATTTTCATAACCTCATCGATTCTTAAAAATGGAACAAAGTTGAAAGAAATTTAAATTCAAAATAAATTCTTGCTTGTACATGAAGGCAGAGGATAGTTATTGATGATGGATTTGCCGTTTAAAGAGCTCTTTTTTTGCCTTTTTTTTATGCAATCGATTTGAACTAAAGTGTATTTACTCTTGACCGAAGAGCCCGAAGATACTGCTTTGCACATTGTGATTACAAATCCTTCATTTACACAATCTGGAACAGTATAAATGTAGAATCGACAATTAAGATCTCAAAGCATAGGAATTTGTGAACAGTTTCGCTCTTTGTGTCATTAGTGTATTTCTCTATCTAGGTTATTGCATAGTATATCTCAGGAAAAATACATTGCTCTATGAAGAGCACTATTTATCTAATGGGGAGTACAGTGATAACTTTAGATGATCTACTAAAGATATTTTTTTGAAATATGCACCTAATACTTTAGATATCGTCATGTTAGTTAGTCAGATCCCCTTGTGGCATGGGTATATGCATTTCGTTTTATACACGTACCGCTTGCTGATTCTCGGCGTCACTTTGCTGATTCACTGTTGTTCCTCTTCTCAATAAGATTTTTTGATCCATTAGATAATTCCTAGCGCTATAAACCTCAGGTGTGTGCCCAAAGTCAAAGGCGCCAGAATTCCTTTCGAAGCCCACAAAACTCGTCTTGGCAGTGAACCTCACTACACACTTGATATAAGCTATGATATCAAGATATCATTTTCTATAGAAATGGAAATAGTTTGGAAATAGCAATTGACGGGTCTTGGTTTCACCTCACTAACTGCGTCATTGCCCAAGCCCAAAGTTTTAGAGAATATCGTATGAACGAAGAAATCATACTCGGAGGAGATAAAGTGCTTGCGGTCGTTGCGCACTAGAAAACGGTGGCTTCTCCGGGAATAGCGGGGGACAATTACCGGCCAACTATACGGCTCTTGTGCCACACGTGATCGAAAAGGCCCGTGGCTTTCGGCCCACGGGTATACACGTGGGTCAAAAAGGGAGTACACGTGGGTCAAAAAGGTAACGATAGAACGTCTCAGGTCGGTTAAAGAGGCGGAATCTGGCTGTCCAGCGCAGCGAACTTCAACGCACTTTATCCAGAAAGTAAAAGAAAAAGGCTCTCACGAATCATGATATCATCCGGGTGGAGCGGACGGAACGGAGCGGCGGCGGACGCCGTTCCGTTATTCCCTGGACGGTCCGTTCTTGCAGCAGCTGATGGCTGTTCTTGGTCCGGTAGTCCTTCCGCTTCTTGCGAAGTCGTGAACCCCTCGAACGCGTCGTCCAAGGGTCCGGCATTTGTATAAATATTCGAGGTTTGGGAGACATTCGAGGCTTCTGAAGAACTGGAACTTGCAACCATTCGTCTCGAATCTCTCTTTTCTGCCTTGCACTCCTGAACGAGCACCGCCCTCCTTCGTGATAAACTTCCTGCGAAAAAAAAACCCTGAAATTCTCGTCTGGCAGATTTCTCGGATCCGGTACTTGATTGTTGGGATTCGCTGGTTTCGGACCCACAGTGAAGTGAAGTGAAAGCGAAGTGAAGAGCCGAATCTTAAGACTCGAAGATGGGAAAAGTTCTGCCGGTCTACGCGTCGATCATAATTCTCTTGTTATTCGGGAGGACCGCAGCTGAGGCGTCCGATTGCGCAGACGTGGACGTGAAGCTGAAGCTGATGACATGCCAGGCCGCTGTGACAGGAGACCATCCTCCTCTGCCGTCAGCAGAGTGTTGTGATAACATCAGCCACATGAGCTTCGGATGCTTGTGCTCTGCTCTCTCATTGAACATCTTCGAAGGCATCAACAAAGAAGCTGCCATATCTCTCCCCAAGAACTGCAAACTCTCACTGCCTCCTGGCTCTCAGTGCTAACGAACGTGGTTTATCATGCAACATTCACTGCCGCTTTCCAGCATTGGAAAGCGGCAGTTCACCGAAGGATCTGTGATTACGAAACAAAACCTTCAGCTCTCGACCTGATTTCCGTCGGCTCTGTACTTGTGTCCCACATTGAAGCTCATCTCAGCTCTAAGGATCCATACCTCAACCTTCGTTGTTGCCTTCGATCGAGCTCTATATGTAGATCTCAAATCTGAGAAGTGAAGTAACGATCGCGCGTTTTACCAAATTGCTTCACCGCAGGCTCATGTAGTTGGCGGCGCCAAAGAGCGGTGACAACAACTCCAAACGCAACTAGCACATTTTATGCCTTCACCTTCAAGCGATCATGGATCTTCCGTATAATGGAACCAGGGTGCACTACGGCTACCTTTTGACGTTCATCGGACCTTTTTATGCTTATAGATACAGCCAGTCTGCTGGTGCAGTGGGTAACTGCATACTTGTTTTGTGTTAGAGAGGGAACTCTTGTGCAAGATGACAACGAGTTACTTGGGGTGATATATATATATTCAGTCGAAGTCAACTGAAAATTCGTCTCACATAAATGGATTACTCTTTCCGGCTCGCATGCCTGCCCAATATCACATCAGTCTCAGTGGAAAACGCCATCTAAATCCTTTGGTTTCATCTATGTACCGCTTGATGGGGTCTACTTTATATTTCTTACCTTTGATCTCAGTGTGAATCATCAAATAATGCACTTCTCATCCTCAATCAAATGTGATGGAAAATATGCTTGTACACTAAATAACTCGTACCAAGTATAGTTAGCTTTACTCCTCTATGTGATGAAACTGACACTCGCTTTTTTGCACCTGGTACTCCTACGCGAATAAGTATCAATATCTGTAGAACAGTCAAATTGACGATAACATGACGTTCCAGCCGGAACGTCATGTTACGTTCGACAGGCAGACAGATTCGAGACATTTTAACTCCAGAATTTTTCATTTCCGAAGACTTTGTTGATAATCTTTCTGAGGATACAAGTAACTGCTAAATTTGGTAAATCGAAGTTAAGATTTAAAAGTCCAATGTCCAACAAATTACTTGGGGTGATATATCTTAGCTGCTTCAGAATAATATATACATTCAGTCGAAGTCAACTGAAAATTCGTCTCACATAAATGTATTACTCTTAACGGCTCGCATGCCTGCCCAATATCACTAATATCAGCGCCATCTCACTCCTTTGGTTTCATCCATGTACGGCTTGATGGGGTCTACTTTATATTTCTTACCTTTGATCTCTGTGTGAATCTTCAAATTTTGCACTTCGCATCCTCAAACAAATGTGATGGAAAAGATGCTTGTACACTAGATAACTCGTACCAAGTATAGTTAGATTTACTCCTCTATGTGATGAAACTGACAGTCGCCTTTTTGCACCTGGTACTCCTACGCGAATATGTATTAGTGTCTGTAGAACAGTCAAATTGACGATAACATGACGTTCCGGCTGGAACGTCATGTTACGTTCGACAGGCAGACAGATTCGAGGCCTTTTAACTCCAGAATTTTTCATTTCCGAAGACTTTGTTGATAATCTTCCTGCGGATACAAGTAGCTGCTAAAATTGGTAAATCGAAGTTAAGCTTTAAAAGTCCAATGTCCAACAATTGCTCCTCGTCAGTCCCTCTTCTGTAGAGAGCACCATCAGCTTCGTCTGATTGAACGGGACTAGAAATTGAGATTCTGTTCTTATATCCCTCTTCTAGCACGACATAGGATAAGCCAGACTTGCAACTGTCTCTCTGAAAAAGTTTCCTTTTTCAAGGCTGTCGTTATTATTGAACGTGGATCCAATATGCTCCTGACAGTGTGCAAATAAGGAGATATACATATTGCAACAATCTGTCTTAACAATGATCAATGACGGTAGAGAAGCTATCGTGACCCTACGACCATTCAACAGAAGGGACTGATCTCGTCAAACATTTATTGTTCTGTACATCCGGAATAGAATTGACTTTGTTGGAACCATAGCTGCCTGATATGCGGATCTGGACTCCGAGGTGATCTGAAAAGATTATCTCGGATCACCACTGGAAAGATCTGAAAAATGACTATCACATGGACGTTTAAAATATTTCTATTTCCACTGTTGAACTAAAATTTTAAGTGATGAGAGTTATTGCAGGACGTTGAAAATTTTTAGATATCAACCTCATCACTTTTTCATTTGACTATCATTCATGATTTCAAAGTACCTTTATAAATATATATGGAATAATCTTACATTTTGCATTACTTTTAAAAAGCTGAATACTTTAGACAAGACTCCTTCAAAACTATCAAAGATACTTTAGAAATTCGAGTTTGAATTTCTAGATTTGACATTGCATATCCGTACTGCGCAGATCCTACTTTCTTTCACAACTCATCACTTCTGTAACTGTTTTGCGCTGCTTTTTGATTCTTCCATGCAATCTCAAACATGTTCCATGAAGCAAGTTGTTACGGAGCAGGACGTATTCAAAAACCGACATGCGTCCAGAGGACGATTATCACGTTAATGTTCCTTGTAAGGACGTAGGTTATCTGAAAGATATCCACCTTAAGTTTGCATGCTGCACAAATTCGGGGATAATCGTGGTGTCACTGAGACTAGAATTGGATAAACCAGTGAAGAAGTTACTCCAGCTTTCTCAGTCATGTCCATATCTTCTGGTTTCATTCCTGCAGGAAGAGAGAACTCGAACATTTGAAGCAATGTCGCCAGAGTAATCTCCACCATCAGCGCACCAATTCCCATGCCTGGACACTGCCTTCGACCCGCTCCGAAAGGCAGGAGGCAGAAGTCTTGGCCTTTCATGTCTACGGGATTGTTCGCAAATCTCTCCGGCTTGAAACTGTTCGGACTTTCCCACAATTCCGGGCTTCGTTGTATGGCGTATATGTTGATAAAAACCTGCATATTTTTTGGAATTTCATATCCACCGACAGTCGTAGGAACCGTGGACTCATGAGGTAACAGAAGTGGCAACGATGGATGAAGACGGAAAGTCTCTTTTATCACCATCTTTAGGTACTTGAGGTTGATAAGGTCTGACTCCTCCACTACTCTCTCTCTGCCCACAACTTCATCCAGTTCCTTGACAAGCTTCTCCTTGACGTCTGGATTCCTCAACAATTCAGCCATCACAAAGAAAATGGAGCCTGTTGTAGTCTCTACTCCGGCCATCAAAAAATCCTGTCAGAGTGCAAGGGAAGGAAGGTCATGATCAGGCTGTTGCTCTGAATTGGAGCATTTACTATGGTCCACGCACCTGACGCTTTGTGAGAAGGCGTCGAGTGACTGACTAGCTGTGAGGTTTCTCTGTGATAGTTCAACCTACCAAACGGATCTCGACACCACCGTTAATACACATCGCGAAAAGTACAATACATGGATTAGGAATATGTCACTACAACCCAACTCTGAAATACTGCAGTCACTGTAACCCTCCATACGTATCCTCGAACTCACTTCAAGTCGGGATTTTGTGACTGTAGGCATATTTTTACAGTTGATGAGACGATCAGAACTATGGATAAAATCAAACGTGAATGGAACTTACGTTGATAAGACATTTGATTTGGAGATCTGTCATATTTTTTCCTTCTTCAGTGTGCTGGATGGACAACAAAGTTTGCATGAAGCCTTGTTCCTCAGGAGTATCACTTGTAGCTTCGCGACGAAGGGCGTCGATGGCATCTGAGATAAAGCTGTCGAACTCGCGATGGACTTGCACAAATGTGGCTTCCGCGCCTCCCACATCCAGCCACCTCAAGAATGGAAAGCATTCACCCAACACAAGGAACGGTAAAGACGCAACTGCTCTGATGAGTTGTGAGAGGTTCTTCCTACCATTGCATTCAGATGACTTGGCCGCTGACATTCCTCCAGTTAGTCTTTTCCCGAGCAGAAGTTTGGACATGTGGTAGAAGATTATGTCGAGTAATTCTTCGCGTAGATCTATGAGTTGTTTTTGCTGACATTCAAGTAGGAGGTTCACTGCGGTCATCATCGTCTCATGCCTGGAAACCTACGAATAGCCAACAAAATGCGACGTTGGGCTGGATAATTTTCATTCTCCAATGAATCCTAAAGGGTCCTTACAGTAAATAAAAATTCGTTGCTTCGATGTGAAGTGACATATGACCAGTGGATATGACACCAAATACGTGTTCAAAGTATAGGATGTCACTCGAAGACGATGGTCTAGATACGATGCTTCCATTTCTACGCACTGCTGATACTGCGAACATGATCTTCATCAACAGCATTGCCTAGGATGATACAAGCCAAGGAAAGGAAGACTACATGCTACCTCCTAGATCAAACACAGAAACTGCACAACGACCTGAGACGTATCCGCCAAAAGAAAATTGTGTTTTACAACTATATTCATTCCTAGGAAGTTGAATCTAGTCGCTGAAGTAATCAACACGAAGAAGGAAGTTCAGATCCTTTCGCTGAGAATAAAGTTTTCTTGCATACGAATCATCCCAAGATGAGATTCATGTAAGAGTCAGTAAGCAGCTGAAGAATCGAGGACGTGGTTGATCTGGACATGATCATCCCATCTGTCTACACTATGGCCATCGACTCTGAGCAAAAATTGGCTCGATGGCTTGTATGTAAAATACCTGTTGCTGTTGGACGGCCTTTGAAGACATTAACTCGGAACCAAGTTTCCTCATCAAACGCCAGTTATCATCACATTGTGCAAAAATCATATCTTGTCGTTGGTAGAAGACAAGTTCGCCTAAAAGTGTAAAAGGACGACCTGCAAACGATGCATCTTGATTTTTGAGAATCTCCTTGGCCAAATCTGGAGACGATATAACCAAGACCTTTAGCATTCCTAACCTCAATTGATACAAAGGTCCAAATTTCTGGGCGAGATTCATCAGAGTGAGATGGACAATCGATTCGCTGTTCAGAAGCGGAAGATTTCCAATCACTGGCCATCCACGAGGTCCAGGAATTCCCGTCTCTTTCCGGAGGACTACGTTCTTCGTGTAGACGAATATAGTCGACACCAGTAAGATAAGGAGCAGCAACGATAGTGCACTCATGTCTGAAAACATGTCGGCCAGGTTCCAACGACGACACGAGTCCCTTCCCTATTCTTCGACTACTGAGACGGAGTATCTCTGAGATTTGGATCAGCAAGCGCTTTGACGTCGAAGGTTCAACGTTTGCTGGTTATATGAGCATTAAATACATGTCACATATTATTAGTTAATGTTCTAGTGGTTTGGACACTACCTAAGTGTTATTTTGGTTCTCTCTTAGTCTGGAGTTGGATTGTGCTTTATAGCCTTTTGACACTTTGGGTCCCAAGGGCTTGATTTATTTACCATTTACCATAGATGTTCTCCAGCATTGTTCATGTCCTGTAGAATAGCTTAATCAACGAATTGAGAAATTTAAATTGAGATCTTTGTATATTGGGTGTAAATTAACAACTGCGGTTTAGATTAAAAATATGTGGTATTAAAAATTTTAGAGAATGAAGCCCAATCATACAACCAGATGAGATATGCGGATCATCAGAGTCTATGATTTGATTATCAAATTTGTATCTTGAGATTTAAAAAAAAAAGTTTGTAAAATATATTACTTTTTTTCATATTTTTTTAACCAATTTTTGACAATTATTTCTGAATTATAGATATTAATAATCAATTCAAATATTTACCCCAATTGAATATTTCACGTCTAAAATTATAATTCAATATTTGATGTTTATGTAATATTTCATTCGATTGTACTCACAAATAATTTTCTGTTCAATAAAGAAATTAATTTTGGATCACGTTTATTTAAATAAATAAAAATATGAATATCTAATTTATGATAATTTATTACGATTTTTGCTAAATTTTTTCAAATCAATTTACTTTTCTAGGAACATTCATTTAGCATGTTTATGAATTTTTTTCTCATTGTATTTTTTTATTATATTTGAATAGATAGTTTAAAAAAATATCTTGTGTGTAATTAAAAAAATTTGATATAAGTGTTTGTTGTTAACTTTGAATCTTATTTCAAAAAAAATAACACTTTATTATTTTTCTCATTTCACAAATTTTATTGTGAATTAAATTTAATATTCGTAGTAAGAATTATTTTCAAAATATCTTAAATGTTTCTTTTATCATTTATGAAGATAGTATATTGTGTCAGAGAGATTTCAGGTTAACTTTCTTATATGATCAATTACCAGATTTAACGAATATTATATTGACATTGATTATAATAACTAGAAATATGGGTTGATTTCGAAAAATCTATTTTTGATATATGTTGAGGATATAATCATCTAAAGTTAAACAATATTTTGGAAAACGTTATATTAAAACAGTTAATAAACTTATTTGTATAATTAGAATGAATTGAAACTAAATTGTATTCAAAACATGATGTAATAAAACTTTACCAAGAAATAACATAATTGGTTTTCTATTTAATATCTATACATAAACAGTATTTGCAGTGTATTACAATATCTTTATTAAATTATTATTTTTGATAAAAACATCAATATAATTGACTTTAATTTTTTTCTTGATTAAATGTATTTTTTTCTCAAAATAACTGAATAATTTATTTGAATTAGAATTGAATCATTTTGATAGTAATAGTGAAATTTTATTATAGTTAATTTCAAACTAATCTAGGTGATAACATTGTTGAATCAAAATGATTATTTTATTTTATTTATTTGATTATTATTCTATACTAAAATTTCATATTTGATCATGCTAACTATTTTTGCAATATATATCTAAAACTTATGCATTTGCATCCTAGTCTAAATATATATCTAGTTGTAAAATTTTGGATATAAACAATCCATGAACAAATTTGGTAATTTTTTTTCTATATCACAAACTAAAGTATTTTTGATAAATTTGAATTCTATGTTTTAGAATTGATTATTTAATATTATTTTTAAGTATAGATTAATTTTTAACAAAAAATAAAAAATTTCGCTCTTTTGCCCAAATTTTTCTTAAATATGATGTATATTTTTCCGTCTGATATCAAAAAAATTATTTATGAAAGTTTGAAATGAATAACTTCAGTAATAAACATAGTCTAATTGGCTTTTATGTTGAATTTTTCAAATAATATTAGTAAATGTAACTTTTGCTCTTCATGTTTTTTATCTTTTCCCAATTTTTTACTCACAATACTTCTTGTTGCACAAAGTATTTTATTTTCTAAATTTAAAATTTGATGAAATTTGAATGTTGTCAATTTTATTTTTAAGTGCATTTTACATTTTTTTCACTTAGAATTTTTGTATAATAAAATAAAAATTTCAGCACACATGTTTTTCATTTATAAATAAGTATAAAATACGTTGTGTTTAAATTTTTGAAATTGAATGAAATTATCAAATACTCTGGATCATTATCTAGAAGCTTATTTAAATCCATTTTTTTCCCAATCTACATAACGTATATTTTTTGTTTCATAAAGATCCATTTATCTATATTTTTATTAATGAAATAAAATTGAAAATTTGATTTCAACTAAAATCAAAATATTCAAAAATATTTACAAGTTTAACAAATTATAACATACTTACCAAGAAAATAAAACATTTTATTGCAATTTTATCACAAAGTTTAGGAATCTAGATAACAAGTTCAAACATTTTTTTTGGACGAATTTTTTTTTTCATGTGCTGAAATATGTTGAGATTTGAATATTTGGTCATGATCTACATGAGATTTGATATTTGTTAGAAACATTGTATCTAATAATCATAATAGTTTTAAAATTCATACATCTTACAACAATAATATAGATAAATAACTTTAAAAAAATTCAAAATCATTAACTTTAGAGTTTCATTAGGATCTAAAAGACAAATTAACTCAAAGATGAAACATTAACTTTGAAGATGATAGATATAAAAAATGCTTCTATTCTTCGTTCTATAGATATGTCAAACACAAAGATAAGCTCTTCTATCTACCATCCAATCTATTGTTAGTAAATTGATGACATGGAAGATATAACTAATGAGCAAACAAATTGTTAACGTGTTGCTTCCAAAACTACACAAATTAGTTTATTCAATACTTACCTAACAAACATTCGGATTGTTGACCTGTCTCTCTCAACTAATACAATATGTCTTTATCTACCAAGCACATGGATTGCTCACATGACAATTACAAGATTTCCACTATAGTGTAATCCTATCTCTATTTTGTAATTCTATACTCTATTAGTTAAAGATAGTTACATATGGAAGTTTGATTTAATGCATTTATTTATTTAACTTAGACTAAATGTCTTTCCTTACAATCAACTTATAGTTGATTAGATGTCACAACATGTAACTTCCCACATCATTTTAGTACAAAAACATATTACTTCTTTTGAAACTAAGATCTAACTTAGATGTATTTTATTTTTTAAATATAAGTGGATACACATTACGTCCAAGGATTATTTAAGAACTGTAATATTTAGATCTCTGTATGTTGAATCAAAGAAGACATAATGTAATTGTTTGCAAATGGAGTAAAAAATTATATCAAATGAGCCGTCAATTTTACACATCTATGAATAATGTGTGTGATAAATCTATCAGATTCCATGTTTGATCTACTCATGTTTAGTCATACTGTGCAACAACAATGTTCTACTATAAAATACATACTATAGTGAGACAGCAAGTTGATAGTTCATGTTAACAATACACTTAGGTGATTCAAAAATATATTATTCAATGTTGCTTGATAAAAAAATATTCAAATTTGTGTGAATCTAAATGTCACTTATCAAAAGACACAAATACCTCATAAATCCTCCATAGAAATTTTTCAAAATATATTAATTTTCAGTTAATTATCAGTAAAAAAAACTTATTCCAGTTTTCTAGATTTTGAAGAACTAGCAAATATATATTCACACATTACTACATATATTTAACAATCTCCTTGCAATACTAAATTTTGCTGCCAAAAGCAATTTAAATATACTATTTTTAGCATACAATGCTCAGAAAATTTCAATATACTAGATTATAGTGTAAAGATAAGTAATTTTTTGTAAAGAATAGAAATGTTTTTGTTGCTATCATTACTTAAACTTAAATTTCAGAAAAGAAATTTTGAATATAAATACTAAAAACACAAATTTAAACAATTTGTTAGCTTTTGGCACATCAAATTCTTAAAACTTTTGGTAACCCACTTTTTGTTTTTTTTCGGAATTAAAACATTTTTGAATAGTAAGTACCGCGATAGCAACTGTAAATAATAATCGGTAAGCGGAAACAGAGTAAAAAGGGAATCTTGGGATCTAAAGAAATTGAAGGCAGTCTAAGGGTTTTGGGCTTAGGCCACAGTCGGGCGCCTTGGACGGAACGTGCGGTTCATGCTGCAGAATCCACTTCAAGCGTCTTCGACGGAAGAGTGCCTTTGGCAGAAAAGTAAATACCTCATAACTTTTTTGATTTATAACGCTTTAACTTAGTTAGGGTCTTGATGGATATAACTTGACACGCTCGTTCTAACGAGCCCAAGAACTCTTGAAACGGATAAGGAATCACTGAGTTATAAGTGTCGAAAGTGACTGATATGGAGTGCCTTCGGGCGGTAGAGTGCCTTCGACGGAAGAGTGAATCCCTTATAACTTTTTCAATTTGTAACGCCTTGACTTAATTAGTATCTTGTTAGATAGAACTCAACACGTTCGCTATAACGAGCCCAAGAACTCTTAAAACGGATAAGGGCTCACTGAGTTATGAGTGTCGAAAGTGATTGATATGGAGTGCCTTCGGCGGAAAAGTGCCTTCGGCGGAAGAGTGAATCCCTCATAACTTTCTCAATTTGTAACGCCTTGACTTAGTTAGGGTCTTGTTGGATAGAGCTCAACACGCTCGTTGTAACAAGCCCAAGAATTCTTGAAATGGATAAGATATCACTGAATGATAAGTGTCAAAAGTGACTGATATGGAGTGTCTTCGGCGGAAGAGTGCCACGTGGAAAAAGATTTCCGACGGCGGAAGTCGGCGTTGTCATGAATATCGAATGTACAAGTGTGGGAAGCAGAACGGCGGGGTGTGAAGACGCTCTTGGGAAGCTAACGGCGGGGTGTGAAGTCGCACGTGGGAAGCAGGCCCTTACCCAGAATTGCGT